TTCTAACAACGATGGGACACGAAGAGAGTTTTAACTCAAAAATCAATCCTGCCATTTTCACTAACTGCTCAATTTAATGCCGGGTTTAAGCATGAGAACTGTGGGAAAAAAGCAAAGTCCGTAAGCTAATAGACATAGTACAAAAGCCTGAGGGGAGAATCCAGAGAATGCAGTCAGTGTGAATGTGGGCTAGCCACTGTAACTGGCGCAGAATAGGTGATGGTAGGTATGACCAGCTGCTGTGTAGATACTAGTTTGCCCTGCTGCTCCTCTGCGGTGATGAGTATAACATGTAGTAAACATGGCTATCTGAAGATTCTTAAACTCTTCAGTAGTTCAGTAGAATAATAAATATGAGAGTATATTTGGCATAGTTTCTGAGGAATGAGCCCAGGAGTGTAATATCTGGTCAGAGAAGAGCAAACAGATACATTCCAAGGTTTAAATGAATGTGTGGAATATGAAGAACACTTGCATAGTGAAACTCAGGCGGTGGGATACTTCTCCCTGTGATTACAGTGTCTAGAAATGTCTGTATTCCGAGTACAATGTCCATAAGGTGCGAACACACTGACCCCAAAATTCTCTCCTTTGCTCCCACTCAGCACTCTGGTGAGCGCCTTCTGCAACACGTTGGAGAATGAAGCCATGGGAGTCAATAGCCCTGTTTCTCCTAGTCGGTATGTACAGTAGCTACTTTTACATTGGATCTACACCACTCTAAAACAGGGCAGATACACACAAAGATAACTCTTACACACTGTATATCAACACCCAGCCCTTTACTCCACCCTTACACACTGTATATCACCACTGCAGCCCCTTACTCAACTCTTACACACTGTATATCAACACCCAGCCCTTAACTCCACCCTTACACACTGTATATCAACACTGCAGCCCTTTACTCTACCCTTACACACTGTACAGTATATCAACACTGCAGCCCTTTACTCCACTCTAACAGGATTTATGTCAGATTTCATCCATTCACAGCAAGCACTTTATATAAGGTGAGCAAATTGGTTAAAGTCCTGTATTTAATAAATTGTAAATAGGCTTGGTGTTTCAATATTTTTCTGCTCACAAAATACCAGTATTACTACTTATTGATTGTAAACTAAAGGAGTTGTTCTATGTAGTTTTAACTGTTTATCCTAAGGATTTATATCATGTTCTTCACCTTTGAAAACTTAATGCAGCTCTGATGCTCATTTCATATTTTGATTGTAGACTTGAGTGTCTGTAATATGTTTAAAGAACGTAATAAAACTGTTGCCTGTCAAGCACTCTGCATTTGTCCTTTATCTTCTTTCCTGCAGCCTGTGTCTGCTGGCAGATCACTGGGACTGAGGGTACAAACACAACGTAAGTCAACAGCTTTGTTCAGAACTTACAACACATACAGTAAATAGAATTTTGTTTCTATTTAGTGAAATGAAATTTCACCTATGGAACATTTGTCGTGGAACATATTCCATTTGAAATGGAGGGATTGGTGTAATCTTTTCTCCCAACAAGTAGCTCTTGTTAAATGGCTCCTATCTTAGCCTTCCAAAGCTGGACTATCAGATCTAGGATGTTGGCCCTCCCTTGGTTAAAGTAATGTTGGAACTTTGTTAGGAACCTTAACGTCTTGGGATAACATTAAATTGCTGCTCTGTACTGCTATACTCTATGGTGCTATGGGAAGAACTGTGGAGAAAGTTCTGCTGCTGGTGGGCTCCAATATTTATTGATTATTGATTTGAATTTATACTGTAGATGCCATTTGTATTAAGAGTTCTTGGTATGAAGTAGAACCAATGAGCCTGTGATGTGAGAGTAGGTGATTGGGTATTTGTGCTCTTAAACTTTAAATTAAAAAAATATTCATGCAAAGAAATGGTTTAACTGATAACTACTCATGCAACAAAACCTGACATGAAAATATATCACAATTCCATTAGTGACTTTGTGTCAGCATTTACATACATGAAAAAGATGCTTTGCAAAACGTAATGCAGAGCAGTTTAATATGTAATAAACTCTTGTATGTCTTCCTCTTCAGTACAATCTCTTCAGAGACAAAGGTAGGTCAAACAGCAACTGCAGCTGTCTTTCCCAGTTCATCCACAACTACAGGTTTTAATAGTCAGCTCACAACTACATCCCTTCAAGAAACAGCCCATGTCAAAAACAAAACTGTACCTACCATTGCAGCCACATCGGCAATATCTCCAGCTGCTTCATCCACTACAACTATGGCTGCAGCTACTCCAGAAACTGTTTTGGAAACAACTGTAATTGTCCCGACCTCTCCAAGCACATCAGCAATGTCTACGACAACAGCTGTTTCAACAACATTTACAGCTTCCCCAGGAACTACTGCAACTACAGCAAATACAACAAAAACTAGCTCCACCAGTTCATCAAGTGCTCCAACAGTAACACAAGCAACACATGCACCAACTACTGCAACTACAATTGCTCAAACCAAAACCAGTATAACTGCACTAACTGTTAGAGCTACAGCTTTTACAGCATCTGTGACTCCACTAAACACTGCAACTTCAGCTCATGCAACCATAAAAAGAACTGCACAAATGCAAACAACAGCTGGTGCTCCAACTACAACAACTGCTGTACCCAGATCAATTTCCCAGACTACTGCTACAAGAGACACAGACAAGTCACAACCTACAACTACAGGTAGCCCAACTACTACAAACACTGTATCATCTACTAAAGCTACTGTAGCATCGCCTACCACAGCTACAGTTCTCACCACAGCAACTACAACTGCACAATCTACAACAAGAGCTGCACAACACATAACAAGCATACCACGTGCTAAAACAGTAACTGTTTCCATCACAACAACTGCAGTTGCTCAAACAACAAGTAGAATGCAACTGGTTACAACTGCACAAAGGAAAAGTACAAGCATGGCAACTGCTCCCAGCCCTGCTAAAACTGTCCCAAGAGCAACAACTCCAAACACAGCTGTCACCACTACTTCAACCTCTGCCCCAATCGTCAGAACTGCAACTACAAAGTCCATTACAAAAAATAGAACTACAAGACCGATTACAACTCCCCACGCTCTCACAACAAGAACTAAAACAACCACAAGCATTGTAAGAACTCAGCCAATAACAACCAGCACAAGGACTGCTGCAGTTGCTCTAAACTCAAGCACAGCTGTTCAAACTGCTACTGCTAACACTGTGCAAGTAACTGGCACTGTACCAACCACAACAACAAAACTTACAACAACTACAGCTGCAGGACCCACAACAAAAAAAAACAGAGCACCAGATACTAAAAGTTTGACTGCCGCCAAAACAACCAGAAATCCACAAACTGCAACTGTTCCAGCCAGAGCACCAACAAATCTACAATACACTACAGCTCCAAGGACAAAAACAAAAACTGAATTATCTACACTAACAGCATCTCCATCAACAA